ATATGGCACTTGTGTAAGTCCTCATGTAAAAACAGGGACATTTCTCAAGCATTGTTAAAGGGTAATCAAACTAATGTCAACGGTGATCTAAGAAAACCATAATGCACTGTAAAGACATCTTCGTAGACAAATTATAATAAAACTCACATGTTCTTCCTTCCATTTAGATGGGTTCATTGGGTCCTCCTAAAAGTTCACCTTTAAGTATATACCAGGAGAATTGTCTCAATTGGTTTGTATCTCAAAGAAAACCATAGTGCGCTTATTAAGGTGATTCATCGAACACCTGCATGCCTTTTTTTCATGCACTCATCAACTCAACCTAACCAAACAAATAGAACCATATATTCAGAACAAGCAAATAAGCATGATAAATAAAACGATGTACCAAGAATTTGGATTTTGTGCAACTTTATATAACATTGTATGAAATTGAAATAAGCAGAAGAAAACCCAAATAACAGGTTGCTCAGAAAAGCCAGAAGTCCTAATTTGATATATCACCTAAATGCTTTCACAGACAAATCACAATCACAAAAGAGTGAATACACCACTTTCAAGGAGGTCTGCAAGTCTAAGTCTCAATCACAAACCAGTATATGCATGATTTTAGAGACAAATCTTAAGTACAAACAATGTATCCAAGTCCAAGAACTTGACAACCACAGGAAATAATTGGTAAATTTCATTCAATCACAGAAACAACAAACAAACCACAACAGAAACCCATTAATGTCTCATTCAAAATAATGAAAGTAATCACCCAATAATCTCAATCAACAACAGAAACCCTAAAAAAAAAACCAAAACCAATATTAGAACTCACCACAGTGAAGATCGAAGATGAAGGTGTAGTGGCTTTGTGGTGGAAGTCGACGAAGAAGGTGGAGAGTCACGATTATGGCTTCGTTATGGAGGCCGACGACGGAGGTGGCGAGTCACTCCTTGGCTATGGTTCGATTCCGAATTTGGGGTTCAACCTTAAGGTTCAAATTAGCTCCTAGTTTGAAGATATAACTAAGAGAAAATTGAATTAAGCGAGATTCTACTATGGAAGTGGATTCCTGTCAGGTTTGGCAGAAGGAAGAAGAGGAAGAGACTAGATAGAAGAGGAAGAAGAAGAGCAACGACTGAGAAGAAAAAAAAAGTGACAGATGGGCAATAGACTGTCAATATGGAGTTTTTATAGGGGGTATTTGTGATTAGATTTCAAAATGGGGATATTAGTGAATAAATTAGGTGAGCCAGGGGTAAAGCCGCCAATTTCCCAAAAAAAAACGCCTTTCAAGTTTTTGAAAAATTGGCCGCCTAGGCGGGCTAGGCGGGTTCTTTTTTTATTTTATTTATAAATAGTATAGCCGCGCGGCTGTACTTTTTAAATAATATATTCAAAGGGTATAGCCGAGCGGCTGCACTTCTTAAATAATATATTTAAAGAGTGTCGGAGAAAATTAACTGACTCGACTGCTCATATACGAGAAAATTGATCTTTATGCTCGTTGAACAGTTCTTCAACATCTGAATCCATTGAAATATGATTGAAATAAAGGGATGAAAAAATAATCAAAACCAATATTCTAGATGCAGTTAACTGAAGAGCTGGAGTCAAACTCATGTGCAATGAAAAAGAACCATTTTGCACTCTAGGTAAACTAAGTTTAATTCTTCAAAAAATGACCCTCACATTTTTCCTCTCAACCTGATTTGATGTCTCCAATATGTCAATATGAAATAGAAATAACGAGGATATCTTTAGAACCTTCGTTCTCATGAACTCAATAAATAGCATCACCGTCAAAATCCAAAAGAAAAAAGCACATAAATTCAGAATTACCAACGGATAATGAAATGTTGTTAATTAAATTTAGTGATAATCTGAATGTTTAATCAATTAAAGGCAAGAGAACAAAGGAAATTTCCATACTGTAAGATTAGTGCTGACTCCTACCATTCCATATGCTTTGCAACTGCATCAGGCAAGAGAACAAAGACAGATCTTCAAAACTTACGTTTTATCTGACAAACTCAATGATTAACTACAAAGACATATTAAACCTTCACTCCATCATACCATGTTGAGGACTAAATTATTCAATTATAAAATTACTAAGCTATTCCAAATATGATTCATTCCCGCCCACTCCCAAGCTCATTCACGGTTGTTTAAATTAACCCAAAGATTATTAAGCAAAAATCCTGAACTGAAACAACGTGTTCATATACTTGAAGAAGTGCTAGCAGTGCACTAACCCGAGAGAAGATGAAATCCATTCCCTAAGGGTTCAAACATTCAACATAGTTTCAGCCGTTGTAAAGGTCTTTGAAACTACCACAACTGCAAATATCAGAAATGGAATACTGCCACTCCTTATGGGCCATGTTAGTGGATTTTTACAGAATGCATCTGATCCCTTAACCCAACTTCCAAGACTACAACCAAATATTTACACAGAGAATGCATCTAACATAGTCTCTGAATATGGGCTATGTTTCTTCAACCACCACAACTACAACCAAACACACAGAATACAGATTGCTTTCAAAAATAAAAAAACAAAGGAAATTTGAAAGTATAAGCAAAAGCATGCCATGTCCTAAAATCCTATGTGCCGTATCAAATACAAAATGCTTATCTACATGTCTTTAACAGATGAATGCAACCCTCCTTCAAGAACTATGCCACTGAAATAAACTCATGAACACAATCTCATTGTTCCAATCAGGTAGGTCCTAAAATGAAGAAGCTAAAAGAAAGTTAATCCGCAATGTTTGACAGCAGTAGTGGGAAATCACTTCAAAAGCCTCAAGACATGGATTCATACCATTAGCATCTTACCGGCTCTTAATTCATTGATATAGAGAACTGGAAAATAATCACTTAAAAATTGATACGTAAGTACTTACAAATGCAGTTGCCTTCCCCTTGCTGTTTCGATAGCCTCTGGATCTGCAAAATGTAATCAAACCAGTGTTCCAAAGAAATCTTAATCATTTTCACAAGGAAACTCACACTAAATAGTAAACAAGACTGCAAAATATATGCATGGAAAGAATCATCTAAAACTGTTTGAAGAGGACCTAAGAAGCTGCCACCGATATCGACAGCTATATTATCTTGCATCACTTTGGGAGTTTTTGATTTTCTCTTTTTGCCCATCTTATGGTACTTAGAATTGACAAAATGTAATTTCAGAGATGCCAGACCCGCCAGTAAAAAAGAAATCTGAAAAAACCAAACGCCATTCAAGTTTTCGAAAAATCGGCCGCCTAGGCGGGCTAGGCGGTTCCTGTTTATTTTTTTTTAGAAAAATAAATAGTATAGCCGTGCGGCTATACAATATTCAAGTTTCATAATTGCAATAGGTGGTACCTTTTTATTTATTTTTTATTTTATAAATATATATTTTTTAAAATAATTAATTAATTAATTAATTTGTTATAAATATTTAAGTTTCATAATTGCAATTCTCTCAGAAAAATAAAAATAAATAATTCAATATGAGGTCTCTCAATTCTGAGACTGATTTATATAGTTTTTCTCTGCCTATGCATTCGGAGCATATCAACATGGGAATATCTAATATTTAAGTTTCAAATTTCGCCATTAAAATGTTGAGTTTTTATCAAAAATAGCCAAAATTTAACTCCCAAATTCATAAATGTCAATTTTTAAAAATACTTTCAAATATAGCCAAAAACTCACTTAAATTGATCCAAATTCCCTCTTAATTATAACTCAATTACACCTAAAAGCTAAAACCCAAAATAGCAGGAGCACAAAACTAAGATTGGCTTCGTCAACTTAATCATTATAAAAATGACAATGTAATTACCAAAAAGAAGAAGAAAAGTAACAGCCAATGTTTTCATAAAGCCAAGCAATAAAAATCACCTCTGCAACTATGGCTCGATTCGAGGGTTTGGGAGTTTTTTACAATGAAAAAAGTTAAAGTCAGTTTCTTGACATAATAATTTTTAATTGAGAAAAAAAGTTACTTTTTTGCAAAATTCGTATCATAAATACTGCTAGTCTGCATATGATATGGGGGTTAAACTTTCTTGCAAACCATCATATGTGTTGCTGCCTTCCCTCAGCACAAGAGGTCTAGAAAAATTGCAAGGCCCTCGCTGTTCATAGACTATCTTCCCACAGCACAAACTTGCCTATATTAAAACTTTGCTTTCCATTAAGGGTGATTTGCGAGGGGCAATGTCCTTGTGTTTGAGGGTAGGCTGGGTGGAGAGTGAGGCTTGTGCTCAGTAGCTTACAGCTTGGAAGAGCATGCTTTTTGGTTAGGTTTTATTTTAGAGGGCATTTGGGTCAATTTAAGTGAGTTTTTGGCTATATTTGAAAGTTTTTTAAAAAACTGACATTTATGAATTTGAGGGTTAAATTTTGGCTATTTTTGATAAAAACTCTAAAATGTTTTGGTAGGTTCTCATTATATCAAGGCTGTTCTACACAAATGGAGGTGATGCCATTTGGTGTTAGCATCAAATGGCATTCATTTTCTCTGGAAATGGCCACAGGACCTTAATTCTAGTGGAGTGGTAAAGAATGACATGCTTTATAATTCTTTCCTATTAGATTTCTCCTCTCTTTCCTTTCGAATTGAAACCGAAGCGACAGTTGGTCATTTGATTCTAATGATATTGATTGAACGCGGGCAACTCCCAAGGTTCACCCTAATTTATGGAAACCAAGGAGTGGCTTAGAGCTGATGAACAATGACCTTCCCAGCACCAACCCTGAAGACTCTATGTCTTGCTTTGATTTGTCCAAGAATGAAAAATATCTTATATCAGCAACAGGAGGGGTGATCTCCATTTTTGACATGACAACATTTAAGGTAAACCCAACACATAGTATTCTTGAAATTTTCTTTTCCCAGCCAAAACTTCCCAAATCTTGTTTGTCAATATGCTTAGGTTCTGTTTGCAAATTTCTCATGCTCTAACTCATTGTACTCATAAAAATCTGTTGCGTAAAAACGCATACGATGAAGAAAGTCAGGCCACCGCCACCTGCAGCAACATGTCTTGCTTTTCACTCCCGAGATGATGGTATAGTTGCTATTGGCATGGACAATTCCACCATTGTAATATACAATCTCCACTCAGACAAGGAAATTTGTTTGTTCTTGTAATAAAACAAATCATGCTCGATGTTGTGATGAAGCAAACCCGAAAAGTTTGTCATTGCCTTGATTTAAATATTTTGCAGGTTACAAGGAAGCTTGAGGGTCACTCCAAAAGAGTCACTAGCCTTGCCTTCTCGAACACTCTGAATGTACTAGTTTCTTCTGGTGCTGATGCATATTGGAAACTACAATATTACTTTCAGACATGGCTTCTACTCTAATGTGACTTCTGTTATTTAACGACGTCGTTTTGGCCCTGCAGATTTTTGTGTGGGAAAAACAGAGAAGCAAATTGTTGCAGATTCCAGATGGGAAGGAGTTGAGATCATTGTCAGATACTTACATCCAAATTCACCAGAATGAGCTGCATCTCCTTGCCATAAACAAGACTCACCTTGCAGTATATGAAGTGAAAGCTCTAGCATGTGTTTAGGAGGGGAGGCTACCCCATCCCAAGGTCAAGGCATACCAAGGCCTCTTTGGGGAACCATTTGGCTTTTTAATTCTTCACATCGGGATTAAAAACAAAAGGCACCCAAAAAGGGATCAGGCCACTCAATGATTCACCATGAATTTTTTTTTTCATACAAAGATGTAGTCACCGCCCCTTCACAAGTATATGTTACTAACCTATACAAATTGTGTATCAATTTTTACTTTGCCTTGCATTGCAAATGCTCAAAAAGATCCTGCATATTTTACAATTGATTTCAAGAAAGATAAGGTTCTTTTTGAAAATTCTGCAAGCTAAGTATTCTTCAACTGGTCACACTATCTCTAGGAGGTTTTCCCTTTGGAATGACCTCCGGTAGTTGCAACATCACAAATGTAAAACAGAGATGATAGGCCTGCCACCTTTTTGGTTATGACCTGCAATCATCTCCTGATTCGCTTTTATATGTGTTGTTGCATAAGGAACCTGTTGTGTCAAACTTTTCACATGGACACTCTACCATCCTCGCCAAAACAAAACTAAGCATGGCACATCATTGTGCTGTGGTGTTTTTGTGTGCCTTGCAAATTCTCCTTTGCATAGAGAAAACGAACCATGAACGTAACCAACAGAGGGGATAAAAGATCAAGAGTCCTGAAAATTCCAAGAAACGGATCTCCTTGTAGAAAGGTCCTACTGCTGAAGCTGCAAAATGCATACATCATGTGATTAATAACTTGCATATCAGATGTAGATATCAAACAATTTGGCATGCAAAGCAAGGCAAAAAGTAAATGAAATCAGCAAAAGACAATGTCCATGGATGCATCTAACAAAACATTAGCTTATTTGTTTTGGTTGTCAAATGGCTGCAGTATTCCTAAGTTATTACATACATTTGGCTCTTTACAGATCCGGTCAGTATTAAAATTCCATTACTGATTTCAGTTCATCATCATATCACATTAGTCCCACCAGTTTTAACTCAAAGTTTATTCTCAAGTCTCCATTAAGGTTGCACCAACTATCAGTTTGTATATTTGTTTATCCAAAAGGATCCCAAAATCTGCTTCAAATATTTGAATATGAACTGTATGCCATACGACTAATTGCATTGAAAAGCCAATCAAAGGATTTAGAAGAAATAACCAGATTCAAAATTAAATCTTGCTAAACCTCAAACAGTATTTCTTTGGTCTATAGGATTAACTTCTCGTAACCGGCATTAGTAAAGCGGGGCAATTTCTACTCTTATCAAACTCATGAGATCAGAAGTCACATAAACTGACTACCAACACCTCAACTACAGAGGGACCTATTTTCAATTAAGAAAAACCTATATTGCCAAAAGACAAAATTTTGAATAAAGATGCTTAATATTTTATTGACACAGCAAAGAATCATAATTTCTTATAAACTCTAACGCTATTTTGAGATGGTCTGAAACTTTTACTTTGGAATTCAACAAATTAGTGACTTCAATTGATTCAAACAACTAGATAATCCTAAGTTATCCAAATTTCAATATTAATGAGAAAAGGAATTATGTGAAGGATTTTCTTTCGTTTTTTCATGTCAGTAGGTTGTTGTCTGGAATATGGAAACACTGCAAACTGAAAGCACACCAGAGGGCACTCCTTGATAATTACTGATGTTCGATTTAGACCAAATTCAATTCAGTTGGCAACTTCTTCATTTGACACAAGGACCTGTCTCTTTTGACTTCTGCTTTCATTATTTTATAGCTTCTACTTCTGTAAAAATGCTCCCTGATTTGCTTCAATTATATTTAATATTTCTTAGGATGTCTAGAAATAGAAACATATCCCTGGCATGAGACTAGCTTTCTTTCTTTACTGATAGGACCCATAAATTGCCTTCAGCAGTAAAGCTGAAAGGTGATCAACTTAAAAACAGCTGCAAACATGCAACAAGCTAGGCAGTATACACTTTCAGTAAGCATAAGCAAACATTCTGCACAGCATATCTCACGTTAATTCCTTTAAAAACTAGACAAAACAACAACTATATAACAAAAGCTCATCCTAAGAACAACAAACACCACACACACACAGAGCAAATATCAAATTCCAAGAGACTGAATAAGCATTGCTTATTTTTGGATAGCGAAAACAACATATAATGCAAAAGAAAAGCACAAAACAAGCACAAAAAGTACTAATCAGATGAGTTAACCCTCCAATCAACAGGCCGCCATGCCTTTTCTTTTGTTGTCATTTAAAAACATAGGAAATTTGGATAGTTGAGATTGCCTTGAAAAAATTAATCTGAAAAGAAAAAAAAAATCTAGACTGTGGAGATTATGTTGAAGGAAAAAACTGAAACTAGTATTAACTTAGCATAACATAATACACACACTCATTATCATCACCTTCTTCAATCCTTACCTGGACTAGTGCCAATGAAGGCATTCTCTAACTGGAAGGTGTTCCTTCTTCGAGGTATAGGCTGGCCACAAGATGTCCAAATTTTTCTTCTCAAACCCTAAATCTAACTCGAGCTGTCTCCCCTCTCTCTCTCGCTCAGACATAACCCGCGATCTATCTGCTTCTTCAATCCTCATCTCTCTCTCTCTCTCTCTCACACATAGCATCATCATCATCTCATTTTTCTGAGTCAGACTCGCCCAGACACACCCAGACACGCCCAGGTCGCCTAGGTGGGCGCCCAGCGCCTAGGTGCCGTCTAGGCCGATTTTTGGAACACTAATTGGTTAAATGAGCAGGCAGTCTGAAACAAAATGCCTTGATAACAATGTTGAAGCCGTAGCTTATCATGTGAATCTAAAATCATCAAAACAGGAGAAATAAAAGAGCCACCATGAAAACCCTTTGGGCGGCCGCCTAAGCGCCGCCTAGGCCAATTTTTCAAACACTGGCTGGTTAAATGAGCAGGCACTCTGAAACAAAATGCCTTGATAACAATGTTGAAGCCATAGCTTAACATGTGAATCTAAAATCATCAAAACAAGAGAAATAAAATAGCCATCATAAAAACCCTCTGGGTAGCCGCCTAGGCGGCCGCCTAGCGCCTAGGCCGATTTTTCAAACACTGGCTGGTTAATTTTTTTTTTTTTTTTTTTTTTTTTTTTTTTTTTTTTTTTTTTTTTTTTTTTTTTTTTTTTTTTTTTTTTTTTTTTTTTTTTTTTTTTTTTTTTTTTTTTTTTTTTTTTTTTTTTTTTTTTTTTTTTTTTTTTTTTTTTTTTTTTTTTTTTTTTTTTTTTTTTTTTTTTTTTTTTTTTTTTTTTTTTTTTTTTTTTTTTTTTTTTTTTTTTTTTTTTTTTTTTTTTTTTTTTTTTTTTTTTTTTTTTTTTTTTTTTTTTTTTTTTTTTTTTTTTTTTTTTTTTTTTTTTTTTTTTTTTTTTTTTTTTTTTTTTTTTTTTTTTTTTTTTTTTTTTTTTTTTTTTTTTTTTTTTTTTTTTTTTTTTTTTTTTTTTTTTTTTTTTTTTTTTCCCCAGACGAACTCTATTATATCCCCATGAATTCAAGCCCAAATTGGACTTGCTGAGTTGATATCCCCGTGACATTCGATTCAAAGCCTGGTTGGTTTTGTGACTGTATCAAAATTTATAGATGGCATTACTTTCTTTAGTTGATATTGCCGGATTAGTTTTTTTCTTTTTTTGCCAACTTCTTTAGTTTAATAATATGTTATTAAGTAATATCTTAGCCCTTTTTTAATTACTTTGATTAGTAATATCATAGACCGATGCCGGCCAACATTCATCAGGAGAAGTCTCATCCGATCTTAGTCTATTTTAATTACTTTAATTTATTATTATATTTTAATTATTATTATTTAGTTAATATTTAAATATTTTAATGATTCAATAAATTACTCAAATATTCGAATATATTTAAGGAAATATGACACTATAAATCCATATTTTTGCTACACATAAATCCATATTTTATTGTTGGTGATATATTAAAAGAGTATAGCCGCACAATTATACATTATAAATATTCTATTTTAAAGGTCTAGCCGCATGGCTATAGTATTGAATATTCTGAACTTATAGCCGTGCAGCTATACGCTTCAAAAGTATAAAATTAGTTTCTTTACTTTTGTTTTATGGCAACCTTCTTTAATTTAATTTATGTAATTAAATCAAGAGTAATGCTACACCAACCACATGTTTATTCCACATTTCTATACCGTATGATGTGACACGTCCATATTATATGCCACATCAATTAAATCAATGAAGTGTATTTTAATTAAGGCAATTAGAAAAATAAATACTTGAATAAATCATAAAAGAAAAGAAAATATTAAATAATTTTAATTGATGTGGCTGTCCACCTCAGCCGCCACATAAGATGGTATAAAGATGTGGTATACAAATGTGGTAAGAGTAGCATTATTCTTAAATAAAATGTTAGTCTTTTTTAATTACTTTAATTAGGTATTACATTTTAATTATTGTTTCTTTAGTGAATATTTAAATATTTTACTGATTTAATAAATTAGTTAATAAATAGTAATTAATTATTTAAAAGTATAAAATTAGTTTATTTACTTTTGTTTTTTGGCGACCTTCTTTAATTTAGTTTATGTTATTAAGTAAAATCTTAGTTTTTTTTAAATTATTTTAATTAGTGGTAGTCTATTTTCCAGTGATTTCAATGGGAGAGGAATTAAAGGGAGTTGACTTAGGCTTTGCATTCCCTTCAGTGGTCTCAAGCTAGCAAGGTAGCCATTCGATTTATTCTTGCATAGAGGAAGCTTAGTGGCCTGAGCTGTTGCTTCACAGTTTAGCCGCGTGACTATACTCCCAAAATAGAATATTTTAAAAAGTCCAACCGCGCGGCTATACCCTTTAAGTAGCATAATATGAATCTCCCAAAAATTGAATTACTACAAAGACCTTTATAGTAATATATTTAAATATTCACTAAAGAAATAATAATTAATACATAATTACTAATTAAAAAAAGGCTAAGATATTACTTAACCACATGTATTAAATTAAAGAAGTTGGCCAACAAACAAAAGTAAAGAAACTAAACAAAAACAAAAACACCCCTCCCGACGAAATGTCGTCGGCAAATATCTATCCCAGCGAAATTTACCATATTACCTCTCCTAACGAAATGTCGTCAGCAGAGGTAACTTTAGTCGGGAGAGGTCTAATCTGACAAATATTTGCCGGTGTTGACCTATGCCAACGAAATTTCGTCGGGAGATGTGTTTTCTCAATTTTTTATTTACAGGGTATAGCCGGGCGACTATACTTTGAAATATTCTTTTTTGGGGTACTTTCGTTCGGCTGTACGGTTAAAATATATATTTAAGGTGTATCGTCGCGCGGCTATACTATTTAAAGGTATAGAATAGTAAATAGAATAGTAGAATAGTAAATAGAATATAGCCGTGCATTAAATATACAATATTAAAGAGTATAGCCGCATTTTAAAAAATTTCCTTTGTTAATAAGAGTAGTTTATAGCATTATCCATTACTATTATTAGGCCATTACCCAAGTCTCTATTATCCCCTTTTGATTTTTTACTTATTACACATAAAGAATTGAGTAATGCACTTACCACATTATTATCCCACATTTCAGTACCACATGATGTGGCATATCCATATCATATGCCACATCAATTAAATGAATGAAGTGTATTTTAATAAATAAAATTAGAAAAACAGAAACTAGTATTTTACATGATGTGGTATGTACACATCAGCTGCCACATCATGTGGTATAAAAAATGTGGTAAGACTAGTATTATTCTAAAGAATTTAGCATTTTCCCATTTAATATTGGTATTATACAAGTAAGTAAACTTAATGCTTACCGAGAGTAGTTTCTGGGTTTAACCCTGCAATATTTCTGGCAACATCAATAGGATCAACGTTTGCAAGACTGCTGATAGGATTTTTAGTACCTGCGCAAACAGGGTTAAAATCGCTGAAAATACTTGCAAGAATACAAGGTAATTGTAGTATAAATGCTCATGCAAGGTCGTTGTCCCCAAAGATTGTTTGACTAATCTGTAATTAAACTAACTCTTAATTAATAACTAAAATAGATTTTATCAAAGATTTGAAGTTTATGAATTTGAAAGGATTAAACTAACAGTAAAAGAAATATAAAAGTTGGGAAATAAAAACAGCAAAGAAGAAAAACGATTTCTTTTTAAAGACTAACAATTTAGAGAAAACTAGGGTTTAGCCAACACCGTCGCAATCCTATGCAATTCTATCAATTACTTATGAATTTCCACATATATGCTTTGAAGGTTAGGTTTTCCTAATACATATTTTCCTTGTGATGTTCAAGCGAAAACGTATATCTAACATGCAATCCGTCTGTGATGTTCAGATCAAATATAAACATGCAAGACTCATTAAGTTTTGTGAAAACCCTTTGAAAAACCATGCAACCCTTAAGAGCGTGATGTTCGCCTTAAGTGAACTTACAATTACTAATCACAAGAAGCCCTCCTCAATTTCAGGGTGATGTTCCAACAGAAATTGCATCAAATTACTTGTCTACATATCCTAATGGTGATCAGTCATTAAAATAGATAGATAGTTTTAAACACAGTGATTAATAATTCAAAGCAAACATGCAACCATTCATAAGCAAATTAATAAAACTACATATTCATGCTAGGCTTACGGCCTCGCCCTAGCAAAAGGAATTAGTTACACATAATCATAATTGAAATCCAAGAAAATATCATTCGAATGAGTAAGAATGAAAACACCTGAAAGTAGCGAAAATCCAAAACCCTAGCAATTGCTCCCAAAGCCAAAAAGAAGTTCTAAAAGGAGAGTCCCTAAATTGCTGTGAAAAGGAGCTTAAATACCTCCTAAAACCTAGCTACCCAATCCCCACAAGGAAACTAAGTTAAAGTAAAATAAGACTAGGAAATAAAGTCCAAATTGGATTAGGAGAATCTGCCCATAATCTGCCCAGCCACGTTTTAGTCTCAAATCTCCCCCAAATCTGGCCCAAGATAGCTCGTTTTAAAGATAAAAATATTCCAAACACTTCTCCAGAAGGCCACGAACCCATCCGAGGTCATCTTGGGCTCCAAAAACGCAATAAAAGCCCAAAACGTCACTATTCCAGCATAGCGCACTGCTCCTTCATTTATTCGCCAGGAAATCATCGCTTGGTGGAAAAGTCTGATATTTTGATACGATCAAGCTAAGTGACTCACGTACGTCCTCCAACTGGAATTACTCCAAAATTCGTCCATTTGATTATGTTTTGCTCCAGAGGAAGTCGAAAGTCCTATATTGGAAATATAATTCAAAGTATCAAAATTCTTCCAACATATTAACCAAATATACTAAGAATGAGGTTAAATATATAATATAAAATCGACTCATCAACTGCATTACAGGGGAAAGAAAATTATTAGGAATACCCTTAGACGGATCATCAATTTTTTTTTTTTTTTTTTTTTTTTTTTTTTTTTTTTTTTTTTTTTTTTTTTTTTTTTTTTTTTTTTTTTTTTTTTTTTTTTTTTTTTTTTTTTTTTTTTTTTTTTTTTTTTTTTTTTTTTTTTTTTTTTTTTTTTTTTTTTTTTTTTTTTTTTTTTTTTTTTTTTTTTTTTTTTTTTTTTTTTTTTTTTTTTTTTTTTTTTTTTTTTTTTTTTTTTTTTTTTTTTTTTTTTTTTTTTTTTTTTTTTTTTTTTTTTTTTTTTTTTTTTTTTTTTTTTTTTTTTTTTTTTTTTTTTTTTTTTTTTTTTTTTTTTTTTTTTTTTTTTTTTTTTTTTTTTTTTTTTTTTTTTTTTTTTTTTTTTTTTTTTTTTTTTTTTTTTTTTTTTTTTTAAAACTCACAAAGATGTCATTGCCATGCTGGAGAAGAAACTAAGCCGAAGCCAGGAGGATTGGAAGTATTTCCCTCAGCCACCATATCCATTAAACCTACTCCAGCAACCATATCCTAAAGGCTACAAAGCACCAAACTTTATTCTCTTCGACGGAAGGAAGGGAAGCCCGAAAGAGCATGTCAACCGCTTCATCGATGCTTTGGGATCACATGCTGGTGATTGTAATCTCCGACTTAGAGAATTTTCGAAAAGCCTTATCGATCGTGCTTACACATGGTATACGACGTTGGCACCAGGCACTGTTCGTTCTTGGGAAGATTTAGCAAACAGGTTCTGTAAGAAGTATTTCCAGCATGAAGAAAGAGTTACTATCATTCAACTCAACAACACTCGCCAAAAATATGGAGAGGATCCCGTGGACTTTGTGCACAGGTTCCGGGACCTAGCATTGGATTGCTACGATGAGAAAGATGAGGAGGCGCTTGTCGAAATTTGCATCAGCAATATTGTGGCAGATTATAGAGTCTATTTGGAGAATATTGGCATCAGCCAATTTTCTCGGCTGCTGGAAGCAGTGAGGAAAACAAGCATTTCAGTTAAGCTAACTGAGCAGGAAGCTTGGAGGAGTGAAGAAGAAGAGCGCCACTTGGGGGCTTCATTTGGTCAGCAAGATTATCAAAAGACAGCTGTCGTAACCTCTCATAAGAGCCGCAAATCACTCTATGATTAGTTGGGTTATGAGTCGCATGCAAATCAGCAGCTGTGGCTCTGTTAAATATTTCTACAGAGCATGGCAGCCTAGTACAACACATGCTAAATACATGCCAACATAAGCCACAAGCTTTCATGCTATTGCAAGTCATGCACGCTCCTTGGCCCTTTCATACTTGGGGGCTTAATTTGATGGGGGTATTTATTAATGCAAAATGGCTCAAAACCTTACTACTGTGTTGCTTTTGCACCTATCCTTTTGTTTTTGGCTTTTCAAATTTATTTCAAAGATGAACTCCTTTTGTGTTTTCACCATATGCTTTCACAACTTTGGTAGAATGCACCACCATTATTGCATGCCAAGGTGTAAAATGATATTTGCAATGAGTATGGAGTATTTTGGAAAAATGAAAATGCCTTAAGAATTCTTTCCTTGCTTTTACCTCCTTCTGTTTTGCAAAACATGCTCTTTTAAAAAATTTAAAAAAAAAATAGACAAGCAAACTTTTCTTTACAAAAGCACGCCACTTAGCAGTAAGACATGCCAAGCAAAGTCACTTGGATGGGGTCCGGGGCCATCAACAAGCAGCATGCCTAAGCAAAATAATATGGTGCATGCATTCTTGAGCTGCTGGAACAACGAAACCATTGTCCCCTTTTTGATAAGCAATCGGAACATGCAAAACATCTGGGAATTTTACAAAAACCATGCATATACTAGTCTGCCCCTTTTAGGGTATGACAAGAGGGTGTTTTTCAGGCCTAGTGGTCAGACAAAATTTTGGCAGCATATACCTTGTTTTTAAGGATATCCAACCTGTCAGAGAATCTCCAGCAGTTCATAAAAACAAATTTTGCCAACCAAGCAATATATATATATATATATTATATAAGACATGCAGATTACAACATGCCTCAAGCATTCAGAAATTAATACAAGCTTCAGTGGTTCAATGCCAAATTACAAAGTCATAACGACATGGTCGTTAGAATGTCAAAAGAAAAAAAAAACTACAGTCAAAGCACGATAAAACTATACATGCTAAAGATCCATGCATCCTATAGTCTCAAAGGAAACAGAACCATGCGATGATTTCATGCTATGAGTAACACCACCGTCAAAGAAGGCTTTGAACGCCATGAAGGAATTGTCCCAATCTCGCCAAGACATGCTTTTCTCCGATAAATGCCCCACGGAGGTGGAAACATCACCGTCCTTATGGCTGTCATTAATAATCTCACCACGAGGCGGCACTGCTGGAAACTATGGAGAGGTGCCGGCTGCTATGTCGGGTGTACCCAGGCAAGGAGAAGTTGGAGGCAGCACTGCTGGAAACTATGGAGAGGTGCCGGTAGCTATGTCGGGTGTGCCCAGGCAAGGAGAAGTTGGAGGCAGCACTGTTGGAAACTATGGAGAAGTACCGGCAGCTATGTCGGGTGTGCCCAGGCAAGGAGAAGTTGGAGGCAGCACTGCTGGAAACTATGGAGAGGTGCCGGCAGCTATGTCGGGTGTGCCCAGGCAAGGAGAAGTTGGAGGCAGCGCTGCGGGAAGCTGCGAGGAGGTGCCGGCAGCTGTATCAGGTGTCCCAAGGGGAGGGGAAGGAAGCGTATCCTCTGCCCCTTGTGAGATGCTCTTGATCTAAAAGAAAAGAAGGAGTTCAAACAAATATGCAATTTCTGACCCAAGTTCGTGACAAGCAAAGTTCTCATCCTGTGAGTCAATAAGCATGACAAGCAAATTCTCTTTCGGAACAAAAATCATGCATTGCAAGACATGCATTCTTACTTCTCGCAACCGAGAACAAAGTCTACAATTAATCAAGCATATGTTCACAAGGGAGGCCTAGGCCATGCACCAGTCTATGCTTATTCCTGGAACATTCAATTGGCGGAGTTACTTACCAAAAGATTAAAGCAGAAGCCCCAAATATCCAAGTTAGAAGGCTGAAGGATTTGAAGGTTCCAGCAGCAGAAACGTCAAGGTTTCCAGCACCTGCCCCACCTATGCCTGAGACGTGTGCACCTGCACAAAACAAAAAAAAAAAAAGGTGCCAGAAGCCATATTTTCTTCCATTCTTCTAGCTCCTACTCTACAAGCAAAGAATTTCTTGCGCTTGCCTTATTTTAAAACTTCTTAGCCCCTGTCCTATTTCAAACATCATGCTAGTAAAATTTATCCCACAGCAACAGTTCAACAAACTCATCACATCTTTGGAAGAAAACTCAAAACAGTCTCAAGAACTAGCTTGTTCTCTTTCTCACCCAAAGTCCCTCCGGTCAAGCAATTTGAATCTTTCATAAGCCTTCATATTGCAAGTCAAGATGAAAAACTCACCTTTATTCTATCAAGATCCCAGCAAATCAGTAAGAAGATGGCATTCCTCATGCTTTGGAACCTCTCAATCAAGCCTGAAAAAGAAACAAGGGAGTACGTTGGCCAGATCAGTGCCGGAAGGGAACTAGTAAACAGAAAGGGGGTGCCGGAAGTAGAATCGCTATTAAAGCATAATGTTTTCCAAAGACAAGTTGCAAGAGACCAAGACTCACTTTCATGCTATCAAATTAGACTTCCCATGCTTTATCATGCTTTCGAGCTTTTAAAACAAGAGAATATGTTAGCCAAAATCAGACGCCGGAAAGGTACTCATACACAAACGGATGTGCCGGAAGCATAATTTTCTCAAAGTGCAAGCAAACTCATCTATCAAGCATTTGACAAAATTCACAAGGTGTGATACCAATTCACATACCAAGAAATTTCATTTCATTCAAGCATTTCAAGCAATTCGGGCATCTCAAAGCAAATTGAAGAATTCATGCTCTTACAACAATACCATTCTGCTTCATGCTCTCACGACAATATTGCTCAAGAACATGCTTTAGCAATACTCAGATCGGCACTCAATGCCAACAGAAAAGACATGCTAAATTCCCAAGCAAAAGCAACATGCCAAGCAAAACTTATACACAAGCTTTCCAACCATCCTAGCTAGAATATCCCACCTTTAGAAAATCACTATAAATCAAGCTTACAACCAACAAATCCCAGACTTTCCCAGATTAGAACTAGACATATCAAGCTTCATTTTCCCAAAATTTCGTTGCATTTCGAGCTAGGGAAGCATGTCAAACAGATTTCTAAAACAGCCCATGCAGCAGAAACTGTACAGCTCCAGCACCCTAACCCTTACTTTGAAATTCCACCCAAAATTCATTTTTTCTTCAAGTGATGCAAGACCAATTCCAACATAACCATTGAGAAGTCCATTTTTCTATCTCAAAAGCTCCAACTCAGATTCGAAAAGAAACATTTCAAAAGTTCAAAAAACTGCCAACAAGCTACTTTGAGATATTTTGACAAACACTTGGCATGCATACCCAAGTGAGCTTGTATAACTCTTGTTTATCACCAAGCTAGAATCCTAAATCAAAAGCTTAACCTTAGAATTCGATTTCTAGTTCACAAATTTTGGGAAATACAGAGGAACTCAAGCATTCAAGCATAGAAGACAAGCATGCAACAAAGGCATCAACATCAACTCATGAACATGCTTTAGAAAAATGGAGGCAAAGAGCACTAGAATGGGTGGATGATCCTCAAGTTTGGATATGTTATAAACAACATAATTTCAAGCAAAATTTGTGAAGCAAGCGCAATCATACGAGCATCATAAGTTAAAGACACATGCAGAAGAAAAATCTGCAAAAACTCACAAGCCATGGATTAATGCAGAAGTTGCAAACCAACTTTGAGGTATCAGAAAAATTCAAAAAATTCTGCAAATTTTACTGGCTATAGTACTCGAGCAGATGAACAACTTTGATCAAGGAAGTTTTCTGATCCGAGCTTCCGAAATATGACTTATGTACTGATGCACAATACCCACGGGTTTGGGTATTGAAGAAGAAGAAAGAGGAGAATGAGAAAATAAAGCATGCCATGCCAAATGAAAGGAAAAGAGAGCAGCTACTTGCAAATAAAAAATTCAAAAGGAAGGGGCAACACAATTTTGCCCACGCTAGTAAAGAGGATAACGCGCCCAACTCTCTTATGTGCTCCCAAGCCCTCATCTCTTCTTCAACCCACCATGCATCAATACAAGCATTTGTGAATCAATCCACACAAATCATGCAACTCAAGCATTTCACTTGATGCAATCATTTCAAGCAAACCAAACCAAATATCACAATATCAAGCTTTTCAAGCAATACAGTCATCATAAAAATGGCAATGTTAGAACTTGGCAGTTCTAGTTGCTGGAAGCACATAGAAGAAGTCATGCTATCATTGTCCTCATTGCAACAAAGGGGTATCGTTTTTCCAAAACACCAATATTCATGCTACCGGAAGAGTGAACCCTCATGCTAGATCAAGCTATATCTTGATTCAACTCAACCATTAGATTATCCAAGTCCAAGCTAATCATGCCAAGCCAAGTCACATTTTTTCCAGCACCTATTCCATTCCAAACAAAACCGTTTCCAGCACTTATCCTATTCCAAATATCCTTCCAGCACTTGTTATATTCCAAATATCCTTCCAGCACATGCCCTATTTCAAACATTCTACCAGCACATGCCCTATTTCAAATATCCTTCCAGCACTTGTTATATTTCAAATATCCTTCCAGCACATGCCCTATTTCAAACATCCTTCCAGCACATGCCCTATTTCAAGCATTCTTCCAATATCTAGCCATCATGTCGCACGATATCACCTTCATTGAAGTTTTGTCCTCTAAATTCAAAGTGTTCGGAGGCTGGTGCTGTAAATCAAACACAATGGTGAATCCAAGCTTATTGCATCCGCAACTCTAAGATTGGATCCCCACTATCCACTAGCACGTCCGGCTACTGTCAAATGACATCCACCATGCTAAATGTCCCAAAAGCCATATTAAACCATGCTACCTTAGCCAAAACCAAGCATCCAAGCATGCAAGCCAAAATCAAGCATACACGCCAATACCAAGTATCAAGCCAAAATCAAGCATACATGCAAATGCTAAGCATCAAGCCAAATACCAAATATACAAGTCAAAGCAAATCATGCAAGCCAAAATCAAGCATACATAATTAATATTAGATACACAAGTCAATGCAACTCTTGCAAACCACAATCATGCAAAATCAAGCCTCTCTAGTCACTCAAGCAAATAAATCATGCGAGCTAAGTAGTTATCTTGAGCTAATCCACCAAGCATTTTCTTCTATATCATGCCACAAAATAAGGTCAACTCTTGGTAACTCTAGTAAGTGACCTTCAAAATTACAGTGTCTAGGAAAGTTCTTCAAGGCAACACCCTCGGTGTTTAAGAAGGATTGGGTTTTAAGCGGGACCATTGTGACCCCTCCAACCTTCCCGGAAAAGACCTGGCTGTAATTTCAGAGACTCTTAACCTGTTATCCTTGAGTTGCTCCTAAACCCATGCCATGCCATGCCACGGTAATTTATTTTGGGCTGAAAATTGATTATTCGGACCATTTCAATACACATTCATGGCCCCAATAATCAAGGGGGCTAATGTTGAGGCCCAAAATATTCACAGTTCGGCCCAAATAAATTCTCGGCCCAATGTGATGCTTTACCAATTTTTTTTTTTTTTTTTTTTTTTTTTTTTTTTTTTTTTTTTTTTTTTTTTTTTTTTTTTTTTTTTTTTTTTTTTTTTTTTTTTTTTTTTTTTTTTTTTTTTTTTTTTTTTTTTTTTTTTTTTTTTTTTTTTTTTTTTTTTTTTTTTTTTTTTTTTTTTTTTTTTTTTTTTTTTTTTTTTTTTTTTTTTTTTTTTTTTTTTTTTTTTTTTTTTTTTTTTTTTTTTTTTTTTTTTTTTTTTTTTTTTTTTTTTTTTTTTTTTTTTTTTTTTTTTTTTTTTTTTTTTTTTTTTTTTTTTTTTTTTTTTTTTTTTTTTTTTTTTTTTTTTTTTTTTTTTTTTTTTTTTTTTTTTTTTTTTTTTTTTTTTTTTTTTTTTTTTTTTTTTTTTTTTATTAATGTCTTATTCATTTGACGACTCGATTCTGTTTGATCCAAACTGGGGAACACCATAATATGGGTTTAGGATTCCTTTGGTGGGTTGGAGTGAAATCCATCTATAGAACTTGCATAGACACCACCCAGTTCCAACGACTTTCCGTAAAAACCGAATTTTCCATTTCCAATTTCATGGACTAATCAATATCGCATGATTCGCACACCTGGGGAACCTCAGAATGTTGTGGAAGGGGTCCTTTGGTGACTTTGGAGTGAAATGCACTTGCAAAATGGTGCAATGCTCCAAACTACTCATTTCAGAACTAACTTCGTACAACTTGAATGTCCAATTTCATGGACCAATCGTCGGCATTGTCCAGACTTGGGGAACATCATAGGTGTCGGAGAAGTTGATTTGTTGAGTTTTGAGTGAATCCACTGGCCTTAAAAAATGCAATACAACCAACCACTCCATTTCAGAACGAACTTCACACGAACCTGATGATCATTTCATGACCAATCGATTCGGATTGAGTCCAAAACTATGGAACACCATAATTTTGAGGAGAGTTCATGTGGTGGCTTTTGAGTGAATTCCATGGCTAAACCATGCAAGACAACAACCTCTCACTGCCTTTCAGAACGAACTACTCTAAGAAGCTGCATGTCCAATTTCCGGGACCAAGTCGATATCGGATGAGTCCAACACCTTTTTGGAACGTCATAGCATGTTTGTGGCGGAAGTCATTTGGTGAGTTTTTGTAGTGAAATCTGCGGCTAAAACTCTGCAATACACCAACCACTTACCATTTTCAACCGAAACTTCGTACCCTTGACATGTCCAACTTTATTCATGACCTCGATATCAGATGAGCCAAAACTTGGGGAACAACATAATATGGTGGGAGGAGTCATTTGGTTGGTTTGAGTGAAATCCAATCTCTAAAACTATTAAATACACCAACCACTCCATTTCAGAACGAACTTCCTACGAACCTGAATAGTTCGATTTCATGGACCAATCGATATCGGATTGAGTCCAAAACTTGGGGAACAACATAATATGGTGGGAGGAGTCATTTGGTTGGTTTTGAGTGAAATCCAATGGCTAAAACTATGCAATACACCAACCACTCCATTTCAGAACGAAACCTCGTACGAACCTGAATAGTCCGATTTCATGGACCAAATCGATATCGGATTGAGTCCAAAACTTGGGGAACAACATAATGTTGTGGGAGGAGTCATTTGGTGGTTTTGAGTGAAATCCAATGGCTAAAACTATGCAATACACCAACCACTCCATTTAGAAAATGACATCGTACGAACCTGAATAGTCCGATTTCTGGGACCAATCGATATCCATTGAGTCCAAAACTTGGGGAACAACATAATATGGGAGGAGTCATTTGTGTGTTTTGAGTGAAACCAATGGCTAAAACTATGCAATACACCACCACTCCATTTCAGAACGAACTTCGTACGAACCTGAATAGTCCAATTTCTTGGACCAATCGATATCGGATTGAGTCCAAAACTTGGGAACAACATAATATGGTGGGAGGAGTCATTTGGTGGTTTGAGTGAAATACAATGGCTAAAACTATGCAATACACCAACCACTCCATTTCGGAACGAACTTTACGAACCTGAATAGTCCAATTTCATGGACCAATCGATATCGGATTGAGTCCAAAACTTGGGGAACAACATAATATGGTGGGGAGGAGTCATTTGGTGGTTTGTGAGTGAAATCCAATGTCTAAAACTATGCAATACACCAACCACTCCCATTTCGAACCAAACTTCGTACGAACCTGAATTGTCCAATTTCTTTGACAAATCGATATCGGATTGAGTCCCAAACTTGGGGAACATCATAATATGGTGGGGGGAGTCAATTGGTTTGTTTTGAGTGAAATCCAATGACTAAAACTATGCAATACACCAACACTCCATTTCAGAACGAACTTCGTACGAACCTGAAATTGTCCAATTCTTGACCAATCTAGATCGGATTGAGCCCAAACTTGGGGAACATCATAATATGGTGGGAGGAGTCATTTGGTGTGTTTTGAGTGAAATCCAGTAAAACTATGCAATACACCAACCACTTCATTTACGGAAAGAACTTTGAACCTGTCCGATTTCTTGATTCAATCGATATCGGATTGAGCCCAAAACTTGGTCAACATCATTAGATGGTGGGAGGAGTCATTTGGTGAGTTTGAGAGAAATCCAATTCTAAAACTTTGCAATACACCAACCACTCCATTACAGAACAAATTCGCATGAACTTGAATTGTAAAATTTCTTTACCCAATCGATATCGCATTGAGCCTAAAACAAGGGCAACATCATAATATGGTGGAGGAGGGAATTGGGCGTGTTTTGAGTGACATCCAATCTCAAACCTATTCAATACACCAACCACTCCTTTTACGAAACTAACTTCGTAAGAACTTAAATTCTCCAATTTCTGGTTCAATCGAGATTGGATTGAGCCCAAACTTGTCAACATTATAATTGGTGGGAGGCTCATTCGGTGAGTTTTGAGTGAGTCCAATCGCCAAAATTATGCAATACACCAACCACGCCTTTACAGAACGAACTTCGTACGAACTTGAATTGTCCATTTATTCGGGCAATTGATATCGGATGAAGCCCAAAACATGGGCAGCGTCATAATATGGTTGGTGGAGTGATTGGTGTGTTTTGAGTGAAATCCAAGCACGAAACCTATGCAATACACCAACCACCCCTTTTACGGACGAACTTTGTACGAACTTGAATTGTCCAATTTCTGGTTCAATTGAGATCGGATTAAGCCCAAACTTGGCAACATTATAATAGGGTGGAGGAGTCATTGGTGACACTATGCCAAAAAGGGCTTTAGCACTATGATAAAATCTTTGCCTAGAACAAAGTACTTGGTATTCAAAGCCTGTGCCTATTACCATGTAACAGGGCAACAAATTCTCTTCGTGTTTGTCACTTACTACATGGATATTTGGTAACTCCGAAGTGCCAAAAAAAGTTGACTTTTGACGGCCTAACCCTAAAACAGTATCAATAGTTTCAGAAGGGATGAGGCTAAAGAGGTTCTACAATCAGTGAATATACTATATGATGGGATTATCAATTACAACATCGTGAAATAAATAATGGTGTTGTGAGTATGTTATACATCATCGATTTTTTTTATTTTGCAGACATGAAAAGCCCCAATAGTTGCTGGGTGGTACATAAATCGTGATGCGACTTCTAAGTTTAGCCCTTTAGTGATAATAGATGCTTGATTCTTTTTATCTCTCAACTTCAGTTATTTCTGGAAAACTGAAGTGTTATAAAACAATAGGCACACTTATGTATGGAAGGTAGGGTATTTTGCTGTTTCACATGCACCACTTTACTTAGTCACTGTGTTATCATTTAAGGAAAGGCCTCATTTCCAAATCATGTTGTGTTTGCCCATTGCTCATTAAAAAAAAAATATATAAACAATAATTTAAATATAGCCATAATTGTCTATATATATATATATATATATATAAGCAAAGTACTTCAATGATCCATACTTGTCACATCCAAATCACAATTTTACCAGCCCTACACCACAAATTATCCATACTTGTCTATGCATAAGCAAAATACTATCTAGAAAGAAATGTAAAATGAAGGAATGTTTCGCTCAATCAAAAAGCCATTCTAGGACATGAGTTGCCAATTCTTCTCACACCTCATCCAATTCCATTTGGGTGTACGTGTCCTTCCTTCTAGCTCTATACTGGAAAAAAAACACCTAGAATGTAAGCACAATATATGAACATAAGCTTAAAAGTGCAGGTACTAAATTTCCACAAGATATATTGTCATTTCAAATGAACCAATATGCAAATTTACGAAATCATATTGGTGAACAAGAAAATCTAATTTGTCAATCAATCTAATTAGATAACAAGAAGTCATTAATTGGATCCCACTTCATGTTTAAACTACCCATCTCAACGCTTTCCTACCAACTATCTGTACAAAAATAAAACATCAATTAGACTTTAACAAATACCATGCCAATATCTCAAATTCTATTATCCATATTTCCTACATTTGCAGAACCAAAATTTCATATCGGTGTAAGTGTTAGAATATCAAATACAATTGCGATCAATTACTGCAGCCATCACAACGGATACTATTGTAGTGCTAGAACCTGAATTTTTGATCTTAAAGAGTTAGAACAAAAAGGAGAGGTGGTGTAAGAACAAAATGGTTAACATATCAAGAAACAAATATTAGAGCACAATAGAAGAAGAAATTAACCAATTACAGGGAAGTCAAGAGTAAAGATAGCAAAAATCGTGTTCAAGCCTCTTTTAACAAAGGTGTGGGATAGTAAAATTACAGTGGACTATAAGTCTTCTAGTACCTGTTCTCCATTTATGTCAGTGCCTTTGTCATTTTCAATAAAATCAACTCATGACAATCAAGTAGGATTATATTTTATGTAAAATTGCAACATGCAATGTCAAATATTGGGTCATAACAATCAAGTATAAATTAAAAACTGGAAACAAACAACTAGAATCATAATGGGCCAAAATTTGAACATAACTGGAAAACTTGACTTAAAATCCTAAAATGAAAGCCTATCGTAAATAACATACCGCACGATGGGATCCTTGCACATGTTGGAATTCCTCGTAAAGGTTACATCTTCCTTCACTGGAGGGAATGATATTACCACATAACTCTGACCTAAAGCAGCTTACAAACCAACCACAAATTCATATTGTAAACTTTGCTTCTAAAACCCATTAAGGAGCACTGAAACCAACACCACCATCAAAAGCATTACAAATTAATACTCTGTGACCTAAAGCAGTATAGCCTAGTAAATTTTTTAATAGCAATATATCCAAATAATGAACAAATAATTTATAACGCATCACCATTTTCTCAATTCTTCAAGTTTGCCATATTTTTGTTACTCATCAACATTTATAACAAACAACGTTTTTGCTGCAACTAAAGCCTCTTCTTTGTTTAGCACAATTACTGTACAATAATGAAGGAATAACAAGTTGAAGTTCCAAAAGAATTTAAAACAAAATAAAAGATACCATCTTGCTTGTTATAAAGCCCCCCAACCAAGCACATGATCCCCATGACAATCTAAGGTCATGACAACCTGCATGTTATTCAGTTAAAAATGTCATTCAAGGGAAAACAAGAAGAAACAATGTGAAGAGTAACACCTGCAGAAAAAGCTTTAAGAATTGAGTGAAACAACACAGAAAAATGAAATAAAAAATATTGGAAAGAATTTTTGTAGCTTCAGTTTCATTTCCTAACGAAGAATGCAAATGACACAGAACCAATAGTTTTGATACCAGTATACATGGTAAAGGAACAAAATAATCATAAAATTTATGAATACAATTTGGTGACCAAATGGTTGAGAAACTCCTAAGAGGCTAGATAAAGTGAAGGGAGGGGAGAGAAACATCAAAGTCGTTATAAATACATGGAACTATTACGTGAAAGAAAATTGTAAACCAATGAGCTAATTATAACCAAATTTCAATACTTATTGAGCCTTCAGCGATATCGATGCCAACATAATATCCTAAGGCCACATTGTAAGAAACTCTGATTAATTAAACAAGAACAACCTAACACCATTGTTGCATTCAATATCACTGCAAGTTTTGTACGGAAGAGCAAAAAAATATTTCAATATTGAAATTTTCATTATGTAGTGAGTGAAAAGAGTAAAAAGTAGCAAAATCAAAATTTAGTTATATTCACCTTCTCTCAGTTTCCACTGTTATAACCAAATACGTTAGTTGGGGAACTAAGAATCCCAGGTTCGAATTAAACAGCCGCACTAATCAGGAACACAACAAATATTGAATGAATTACCAATCTAAAACACAAAATAGAAAAAGAGTTCAGACTTTGATGTTTCTCTCCCTCTCCCTTCACTTTATCTCTCTCAAATAAACTGTATCCATATATGATATGAATAACTCTGTAATATTTCGGAATACATAACAGAATCATTATTAATATAACCTTCTCCAAATTGAAGAAAATCTAATCTGCCGCTGTTTGCTTACAAAGTCAACACTTTGGTTAATGTAGTTGATTCGATAGAATTCCTCAACACCATCGCTCCGGTCACTGTTAACATCATAATCCCTGTATTTTGATGAATAAAATTTACATAAGTAGTAATAATGATGATATATAATATAAAGGAAAAGGGAATATGACATTTCTTGAGCTTCTTTGGAAACAGAAAGGAAAGGCGAAATGTATACTAAAATGTTTCATGATCATAATTGAATGCAGCCTAGAATATGGCAAGAACAGAAGGGCCCTGAAAGTGTGTCCAAATGCGTTTGTTGGAGGCACCACAAATCCACCATCCAACATCAATTCATTCTCCTCACCAGCCTGATCAGATACCTTCTTTTCTTCCACCTCAACCGTTGCTAATTAAAATGAATTCAATGTCGAACAAGAAAACAAAAAAAATGTAATGCAGCGAAAACCAAAAAAATAAAAGTAGAACTTTACCAAAGTCAGGCTGCTCAACATGGCATACCGCTATAGTATTGATAGTAGAAAGTCCAAGATCATTTTGGCAGCGAGTCAAATGATAACATTCTCAATTCCTTGGGTATTAGATTTTATGCCAGAAATCAGCTGACTATATTCACCTGGCATGTTATAACCCACAGTGTCAAGAATGTTCAGAGTTGTTGCTCCAGGCTTTATAACTTCCCCCAAATTCTGATACAAAAATCCCTATTGGATCTGGAAGGGTTTGGGCCAAGAAAAGAAAAGACATTTATTATTAAAAACACATGAAATTGAAATGCATTAAATAGAAATCGATAATTGAAAGGACTGAAAGAAGTCTACGATTTATGATATGGACAAATAGGCTCAAATAGCAAGTCACAATAAAAAAATATAAAATCAAATTAATAGTAAGATATCCATAACGATGATGATAAAGACCTCATTAAATTGAAGCATAGATCTATCAAGATTAATAGAGAAAGAAACGAAAAAGTTCAGAGATTTAAGGGGGTGTATTCAATTGTGATTTTAATGGATTGTTTTGAAGCTTAAAAGTACGGTGGTATTCAATTAGGATTTTTAAGTAATCAATAAAAATCTAGTGGTATTCAATTAAGATTTTTAAATAATCAATACAAGTCCGGTGGTATTCAATTATGACTTTTAAAAGGTAAGAAAAAGTATTGTGGTATTAAAAAACTTACTGATTTTGAGGTCTTTCATTAAATGATGTATTGTGTGAGACTTTTGAGTGTGTGATATAAATACCAAATCACATAGCAAATCTCATCTTCCTATGCATGATCTCATATATGCTCTCATACTCTTTTTTTTCTCCACTATTTGACTATACATAAAAAATAATAATAAAAAAAAATTCATAAGAGAGACGATAAAGAAACATTAACAAGAAAGACGATATTGCCTCTCCTGGAGCTAACGGGCATTTTCCAATAGCTCTTCTTTCCTTGTAGACAAGCTTATTTGGAGCAAAATTATATTTTCGATACTCTTTTTCTAGAATCTCCTGCTCATTGTAGACATTTCTTCGTAAGGAGTTGCAATTTTGTCGGTGTGCCCACAAGTTGCTTGATCTAATGCCCCAAAGAGGCCTTTTTTTATATATTATTATTTATTTAAATTTTTATGCGTAGCTACTACACATACAACACACATGGCTAAATATTTTTTCTAATTCCCTGTCCCAAAATGTTTGGGATCAGGACTGTTGATGCTCTTTTTGAAGATGGTCAACTTAGAGAAAATGGGTTTGTCTTCAGTAGTGGAGAAGGTGTGGACCTTCGATAAGGGGCTAGCCTGCAAAAGACAAAGTAGGAGAAGCAATCATTAAACTTCGAACACCGGTGTGGTGCAGGCCGAAGACTCTCCTATGCTTAAGTCAGCTAAGAGTAATAACTTTGGCAGAGTAATAGTAAAAGGTAAGAAAGTAGTTGTCCCTTTTACTAGGGTGTTGTTTCCTATTTATAGGGAAGTGAAAGTGGGAGAGGAAGTGAAAGTGGGATGTTTGTGTAGATTTCCGATGTGGGACTTTGTACAAGTCGTTGTGGTGGTGACACGTGTCATGGAGATTAGGTTCAGCAATTTGAGAGAATCAGCAGTCGGGAGCTTCGGCAGGTGTCTGGCACCTTGGAAAAGTGTCTTCCTTCGGCAGGGGAGAAGGCATGGCTGCCTTGGTGCTAGTTGTTTTGAGACTGGATATGCTCAGTTGATTATGGTGTAAACAAGGACAAAACAAAAAAAGGAAGAAGCCTTACCCATAATCTAGAAGGAACGTTGATAAGGTACAGGGTGTATTTTTACTCCATAGTTTTTGTCCAAGCTTTGACAAAAATTAGGAGTAGTCATGGGGTTGGGCTAGGAGTTTTCACTATGTTTCTTTATTTTGTATTTCTGGTGCTATATGTTTTTCATTAGGTGTTGGTAGTTTTGGATGTAGCTTCTAGCCTCCACTTATTCTTTTTTATTTCTATTGTTGGTTTTTCAATTGTGTTGTGTTTCTTTAATGTATTCATTCTGGCCATGTATGGCTATATTGGGAGTTACATTGTTGATGTCGGTGTACTCTCCCTGGACTAACCATTGATGGTTACTATGCCTCCATCTTTGTATTAACCCTAAAAATTGGGTATATGTATCCTAAAAATTGGGTACATTCTTTCAGGTTATGTATTTATGTGAATGATGATGGGTGATAGAGTTCAAGCTTGTATAGAAATATAAGTAAAATCATGTAATTACAATCTATTAAAATCATAAGTAAAATTCTAAGTGAATTAAATTATACGTAAAATCATAAGTAAAATCATGTATTTGCAATCTATTAAAATCATGAGTAAAATCATATAATTACAAATCCGGCTAAAATCCATTACATTAAAATCATGTAATTACAATCTATTAAAATCTCAATTGAATACACCCCCCCTAAAGCATGATGAAGACCTAACCACGAAGCGGCATCATAGAGGCTGATTAAGAATCTTCTGAGCGTCCATAGGTGTAGAAAATCAAACTTGAAAACTTTGAAATTAACCCAAAATAATTACAATACCAGCTAGAGTGGCTGGGCTTTAGGCCTGACGCAAGCGCCCACCTTGTCCAGAGCATCTGAGAGTCTAAGAGAGAAAGAGGCAATGATGGAGGAGAGAGAAGAAAGAGAGAGTTCGAGAGGGACAGAAAAAAAAATGAGAGGGAGAGGGGAGTGAAAAAATTTAGAGGGAGATGGAAGTTAGGGCGAGTTTTTGAGAAGGATTAAAAAAATTGAGAGGGAGATGGAGGCTAGGGTGAGAGTTTGAGTGGGAGAGCATGAAATTTTTTGGACCAGCGTTGACTACATTTTAGGCATCAACGGATTTTTTTAAAAAAATGTCCCTCATTTTATTAAAAAAAAAAAGAAAAAAAAAGAAGCCAAATCTCTTTAGGCATTTGTGATTATAAGAAATGACGCTAAAGGGGAATCAAAGTATCGTCATAAAAAAACAAAAATTCGTACTAATGTGTTTATACCTGTTTAGTATCGTTATTTTCCAAATCTATGCCTAATATACTAATAGCATCGATTTTCCGTTTTAACGATGCATATATAGTGTTGCTGAAAGTCAAATTTGGAATAGTGTCAGTTTTGAGTGAAATCCAATCACCAAAACTATGCAATATACCAACCACTCCATTTACGGAACGAACTTCATAAGAACTTGAATTGTCCAATTTTCTGGTCCAATCGATATCGGATTGAACCCAAACTTGGTCAACATCACAATATGGTGGGACGAGTCATTTGATGTGTTTTGAGTGAAATCCAATCGCAAAACTATGCAATACACCAACCACTCCTTTTACAAAACGAACTTCGTACGAACTTGAATTGTCCAAGTTCATGGTTCAATTCAGATCGGATGGAGCCCAAAACATGGGCAACATCATAATATGGTGGGAGGAGTCATTTGGTGAGTTTTGAGTGAAACCCAATCGCTAAACCTATGCAATACACCAACCACTCCTTTTAGAACGAACTTCATAAGAACTTGAATTGTCCGATTTCTTTGGCCAATCGATATCGGATTGAGTCCAAAACTTGGGCAACATCATAATATGGTGGGAGGAGTGAATTGGTTTGTTTTGAGTGAAATTCAATCTTTAAACCAATGCAATACACCAACCACTCCATTTAAGGAACGAACTTCGTACGAACCTGAAGTCCAATTTCTTGGACCAATCGATATCGGATTGAGCCCAAACCTGGGGAACATCATAATATAGTGGGAGGAGTCATTTGGTGTGTTTTGTGTGAAATCCAATGGCTAAAACTATGCAATACACCAACCACTCCATTTAGAACAAATTTGTACGAACTTGAATTGTCCAATTTCTTTGGCCAATCGATATCGGATTGAGCCCAAAACTTGGGCAATAATATGGTGGGAGGAGTGAATTGGTTTGTTTGAGTGAAATCCAATCGCTAAAACTATGCAATACACCAACCACTCCATTTCCGGAGTCAATCACAATTGACAGGGGATCTTCTTTCATATCTGGAGAAATGCTAGATATAGCAGAAGCATTCAAGTTCAAACTACTTCAATCCACTCCTTATTATGCTCAAGCTAATGGATAGGCATAATCAAGTAATAAGGTGATCATCAACATTATCAAGAAAATGCTTGAGAAAAATCCAAAGCCATGCATGAGAAGTTATTAGAAACTCTTTGGGCATATAGAACTTCAAAGAGAGATGCAACTGGCATGACCCCATATCATCACCAAGCAGATCAAACCTCTAAAAGCTCAGCTTCTGAAAGATTTCAGCACTTGATCTCAAAAAGCAATCACCAGGTGTTCTTTTCCTTTAAAGAATGTTTTTTCAAGAAGAGCCCCACGTCGCCTTACTTTGAAAAAGTCAACAATTTCAACTATCACAAGAGAGTTGATGGGGAAATATTGAAGGCAGGTCTTATAGGAAGATTTCTCCAGTCTTTACAGTCAAGGAAGAAGACCAAAATCCCTTTCTATATACAAAGAAAATTCTGCTCCAGAGTAGGTGCCATTTCTAAGGGATAAGCACACTACATTTTCTAAAGAGATAATAAGGGAGCAGGGAGTTGTTCATGAGGAAAATCAAAACTAACCATCACGGCAGATTGAATTCTTACAAAGAGCAGTTAAAAGTTGAAAAGGGATTAGGTTTTCTTTCAAGAAAAGCAGGGAAGTGATCACCATAAAGAACTGACTATTGATGGCCTTTTTGCCAGAATAGATAAAATTCTCTTTTTCTTGACATTTAAAAAAGATCTTTCCTTTGGAAAATCTGCCGCCCATTATAAAAGATTAGAAATCCCACTCCAACATTTTCTATAAATATGTGAGGAGGTGAACAGATCAAAGGACAACAAAAAAAATCAATCAAAAGCAAAAACTCAAAATGATCACTCTATCTCAAAAACCTTCAAAACACTGAAGCAACTGAAGCTCATTGAGCCACAGGGAACAAGTCAGCTATAATTTCGAATCTGTGCTTTCAGTTCAGTTCAAAGAAATAGTCATACAAAGCGAGATTTCTCTCGTTACAAATTTGGTTCAGCATAAGCCAAATCAAGCAGCGTCCGGGTTTTTACAAATATGAAAACCTCAACAAATTTATGGAGAGCCCTGATCAAGCAGAACAGGTACTACAGTGCAGTTCCAGCTTAGTAATCATCAAATCCAGCCACTTCTGCCCCTTCTAGACTGAAGAGGTTCCAATTCTGCCAGTTCAAAAAGCCTTCCAAGGCTTGAAATAGATTAAAGCTCTGCCAAACTTGAACGTTGGTATTGATTTACAGCTGAAACTTAATAGTTGAAGGTGTTGATAGTCCAATCCAGCACAGACATACCCAGTCTAGCCCGAATCAGAAGCATCTACCTTGGAAAAAATTGAAGTCCAACGCCCTTTTTGTCTTTTTTAGAGTTGGTCTTTCCTTTTTGAGCATTGTAAAAGGCAGTTCTACCTGAAAACAGTTCACTCTCTTATCGTTCATTCTGGCCAGAACTACCAGTTTTGTACTGTGAAAAATTGTGAAGTCCTCACCAGTCTGAAGTAAGAAAATAACTTACTTGGGAGATATTCCTCAACCAAATTCACAATCGCTTGTCTGGAAATCAGTAACTTGGGACGCAGGTTATCTATTTTTAAGAAGTGTACTAGGGTTTTTATTGCTCGTAGTGCCACGCTCATACACAAAAGAAAGCTGACTTGTTGACCACGAATGGTTTTCAAGCCACTGAGGAACTTTACCCTACCATTGCAGGAACAAATCTAAAATGGGTGCACAATTTCTTGGTTCAATCGAGATCGGTTTGAGCCCAAAACTTAGGCAACATTATAATATTGTGGGAGGAGTCATTCTGTGAGTTTTAATTGGAATCCAATCACCAAAATTGTGCAATACACCAACTACTCCTTTTACGGAACGAGCTTCATACGAATTTGAAATGTCCAATTTCTTTGGCCAATCCATATCGGATTGAGCCCAAAACTTGGTCAACATCACCATATGATGGGAGGAGTCATTTGGGGAGTTTTGAGTGATATCCAATCGCTAAAACTATGCAATACACCAACCACTCCATTTACGGAACGAACTTCACATAAACTTGAATTGTCCAATTTCTTTGGCCAATCGATATCGGATTAAGCCCAAAACATGGGAAACGTCATAATAAGGTGGGGGGAGTGAATTGGTGTGTTTTGAGGGAAATCCAATGGCTAAAACTATGCAATACAATAACCACTTCATTTACGAAACGAACTTCGCACGAACTTGAACCGTCCAATTTCTTTGGCCAATCGATCTCGGATTGAGCGCAAAACATCGACAATGTTATAATATGGCGGGAGGAGTGAATTGGTTTGCTTTGAGTGAAATCCAATCGCTAAAACTGTGCAATACACCAACCACTGTATTTACTGAACGAACTTCGTACGAACTTGAATTGTCCAATTTCATTGGCCAAGCCATATCGGATTGAGCCCAAAACTTGGTCAACATCATAATATGGTGGGAGGAATGAATTGGTTTATTGTGCGTGAAATTCAATTGCTAAAACTATGCAATACACCAACCACTCCATTTACGGAACAAACTTCGTATGAACTTGAATTGTTCAATTTCAGTGGCCAATTGATATCAGATTGAGCCCAAAATTTGGTCAACATCGTAATATGGTGAGTTTAGAGTGAAATCCAATTGCTAAACTATGCAATACACCAACCACTCCATTTACGGAACGAACTCTGCACGAACTTGAACTGTCCAATTTCTTTGGCCAATCGATCTCGGATTGAGACCAAAACAAGGTCAACATCATAATATGGTGGGAGCAGTGAATTCGTTAATTTTAAGTGAAATCCAATCGCTAAAACTATGCAATAGACCAACCACTCCATTTTCGGAACCAACTTCGTACGAACTTGAATTGTCCAATTTCATTGACCAATCCATATCGGATTCAGCCCAAAACTTGGTCAACATAATAATATGGTGGGAGGAGTGAATTGGTTTATTTTTTGTGAAATCCAATTGCTAAAACTAAGCAATACACCAACCACTCCATTTACATAACGAACTTTGTACGAACATGAATTGTCCATTTTCTTGGTTTAATCGATATCGGATTGAGCACAAGACTTAGTCAACATCATAATATGGTGGGAGGAGTCATTTGATGAGTTTTGAGTGAAATCCAATTGCTAAAACTAGGCAACAGACTAACAACACCATTATAGAACGAACTTTGTACAAACTTGAATTGTCTATTTTCTTGGTTTAATCGATATCGGATTGAGCACAAAACTTGGTCAACATCATAATATGGTGGGAGGAGTCATTTCGTGCGTTTTGAGTGAAATCCAATCACTAAAACTATGCAATACACCAACCACTCCATTTACGGAACGAACTTCATACGAACATGAATTGTCCAATTTCATTGGCCAATCGATATCAGATTGAGCCCAAAACTTGGTCAACATCATAAATATGGTGGGAGGAGTCATTTGGTGAGTTTTGAGTGAAATCCAATCACTAAAACTTTGCGATACACCAACCCCTACATTTACAGAATGAACTTCGTACGAACTTGAATTGTCCAATTTCTTTGGCCAATCGATATCGGATGGAGCCCAAAACATAGGCAACGTCACAATACGGTGGGAGGAGTGAATTGGTGTGTTTTGAGTGAAATCTCATAGCTAAAACTATGCAATACACCAACCGCTCCTTTTAAAGAACAAAACTTGAATTGTCCAATTTCTTGGTTTAATCGAGATAGGATTGAACCCAAAACATGGGCAACATTATAATATGGTGGGAGGACTCATTCGGTGCGTTTTGAGATAAATCTGATTGCCAAAATTATGCAATACACCAACCACTCCATTTACAGTACGAACTTCGTACAAACTTGAATTTCCAATTTCTTTAGCCAATCGATATCGGATTGAGCCCAAAACAAGGGCAACATCATAATATGGTGGGAGGAGTGAATTGGTGTATTTTGGGTGAAATCTAATTGCTAAAACTATGAAATACACCAACTAGTCTTTTTATGGAATGAACTTCGTTCGAACTTGAAGTGAAATCCAATTTCTAAAACTATGCAATACACCAACCACTCCATTTGCGGAACAAACTTCGCGCGAACTTGAATTGTCCAATTTCTTTGGCAAATCTATTGGTGTGTTTTGAATGAAATCCAATCACTAAAACTATGCAAACACCAACCACTCCATTTACGGAACAAACTTCGTACGAACTTGAATTGTCCAATTTCTTGGTTCAATCGAGATCGGATTAGGCCCAAAACTTGGGCAACATTATAATATGGTGGGAGGAGTCATTCAATGAGTTTTAAGTGAAATCCAATTGAAAAAACTATTCAATCCACCAATCACTCCATTTACAGAACGAACATCGTACATACTTGAATTGTCCATTTTCTTGATTCAATCGATATCGGATTGATCACAAAACTTGGTCAACATCATAATATGGTGGGAGGAGTCATTTGGTGAGTTTTGGGTGAAATCCAATCTCTAAAACTAAGCAATGCACCAACCACTCCCTTTACGGAACAAACTTTGTACGAACTTGAATTGTTTAATTTCTTGGTTCAATTAAGAACGAACTTGAATTGTCTAATTTCTAGGTTCAATTAAGATCGGATTGAGCCCAAAACTTGGGAAACGTTTTAATATGGTGGGAGGAGTCATTCGGTGAGTGTTGAGTGAAATCCAATCTTCAAAACTGTACGATACGCCAACCACTCCACTTACGGAACGAACTTCGTACGAACTTGAATTGTCCAATTTTATTGGACAATCGATGTTGGATTGACCCCAAAACTTGGTCAACATCATAATATTGGGGGAGGAGTCATTTGGTGAGTTTTGACTTAAATCCAATTGCTAAAACTGTGCAATACACAAACCACTGCATTTACGAAACAAACTTCGTTCGAACTTGAATTGTCAAATTTATTGGTTCAACCGACATTGGGTTGAGCCCAAAACTTGGTCAACATCATATTATGGTGGTAGGAGTCATTTGGTGAGGTTTGAGTGAAATCCAACCGTTAAAACTATGCAATATACCAACCACCCCATTTACGGAATGAACTTCATACAAACTTGAACTGTCCAATTTCATTGGCCAATCAATGTCGGATTGAGCCCAAAACATAGGCAATGTCATAATATGGTGGGAGGAGTGAATTGATGTGCTTTGTGTGAAATCCAATCACTAAAACTATGCAATACACCAACCACTCCATTTACGGAACGAACTTCGTACGAACTTGAATTGTCCAATTTCTTGGTTCAATCAATATCGGATTGAGCCCAAAACTTGGTCAACATCATATTATGGTGGAATGAATCATTTGGTGAGGTTTGAGTGAAATCCAACCGTTAAAACTATGCAGTATTCAAACCACTCCATTTACGGAACGAACTTCATAAAAATTTGAATTGTCCAATTTCTTTGGCCAATCAATGTCGAATTGAGCCCAAAAGATAGGCAACATCATAATATGGTAGGAGGAGTGAATTGGAGGTCACCATCTCTGTCACGCCGTTCGGGTCACGGAGGTCACCGGCATGATCTCCATGTCACCGAGCTCTTTGAGCTTGTCATCTCCCTTGTGTTACTTTTGTTTCCAAATTCTTGTCTTAGAGTTTTGTCGCAGGTTTTGTTGAACATCTTCAAGGTTAGTCTCCTCACCCTCATTTTCAAGGTTTCTCTCTCATTTTGTCTGATTCTCAATTCCTTCTAGAGAAAAGGTATTCTAGAGTTAGGGTTTCGATTTATTTGGGCTGTGGAAATTTGTTTTGGGCCAAATGGTCTTGATTTGATGTTATGTGGTGAAGGATTTGAAAGGATTGGCGGCTTAGTAGTCAGAGTTGGTCTGTACAGAGATGACATCGAATTAGTTGCTGCCCGGAGTTGGAAGGATTATGCAAGACTAATATTTTCGAAAGTCTCTGCGTTTGGTTTTTGTATGTTTTTAATATTTCTTTATTGCTTCCAATCTAATATTTTTCACATGCATTATTTTAGTTTCTCTCTTATTTATTTATCTATTATTTCTATATAGATTTTCATCCTACTCTGTTTTCCAGAGATTGGGGTTAAATTTGAATTGTGGCTGCAATAGAAGAAAAAGACTAGGTCTGATTGTCAAATACGAGTGCCTTCAATATTAGTCAGTTTCAGTTTCAACCTCCATACCATATTTGTATAACCAATCTATGGTTTCATAGATTTGATTTCTCTGATATTTATTTCCTTGAAAAGTTGATCATATTTTGATATATTTCTGAAAGGTTTGGGAATCTAATTTATCAACTTAAAATGTCCATCATCTCCAAGCAAACCATAGTTTAATTTATCAAGTTAAAACTGTCTTCCATTTCCGAAACCATCATCTACTGTTGTCTTAGCTTTCCCACACCACCAAACCATAGTTTCACAGTGCCAAATTTTTCTACCTGAAATCAGAGAGTCCAAATGGTCCAAAAATTCTTCAAGATTAACAAAATAAAGAATTTGTGTGCATGTGCAGATAAATAGGTATGCATTTTCTGGTGGACAAGATTCAATAGAGAAACATAGAGAACTTGGAGCAAATCTCAAGGTATTTGAATTGTCTCACATGGGAAAGGAGACAATTTGAATTGCTTCCCCAGTTTTGAGTGATCTATGGCATAGATTGGGAAATCAGACTTGAAGTATTGACGTGTCAGAGAGTTAGTTTATGCTTGAAAAGGACTCTGTTTTTATGTCTTTTGACTTTCTGTCTTTTTTCTTTCTGTTTATCTGTTGTGGTAGCTTGATTTGTTTTTATTTTTTTCCTTCTCTGTTGGCCTGCATTGCTGTTCTGTTTTCCTGGGGCTGTTTGGGCCAATTGGGTTGTATCTGATTGTAATTGTTGTTTGGCTTAGGAAGAAGAAAATAAAAGGAAGGGGCACTGACTTTAAGGGTCCTCTTGGACAGGTATTGATATTCACATTTCCTGTACTTGTCTGCATTGAACTTGCTATTAATGTCTTATACGGTTAGTGGCTTCTATTTATGCCTTGAGTTAATAGCATTGAGTAGTGACTATCGCTTCATTCTTATTGGCCTCTAAACTACCACCCCTTTTGATTGAGCCTTGAGGGGATTGACTGTTAAAGGTTTTGTTCTATTTCATCATATTTTTACTCTAATTTAACTTCTCTTACTATAGTTCATCCTCAAACTTAGAGAAAGAAAAGAACATAGTTTGGTTGGTTGGTTGGTTGGATTGAATTTCATTGATTTGGGGGCGTTAAAATATGAGCTACTGTTAGTTTGTAAGAACTGGAGTTGTTGTATTGATAAGGTTTTAACACTTGTGGTTTTAGAACTTTGGTACTGAATTTGATTCTTGTATCATATGTGCTTCTCTTTTTTTTTGGGTAAGAATATATGTTTCTGTTTGATTGCTATTTAAATCGTATGAGTGCTTTTAGTTTGATTGCATATGAAATAATTGGTACTTGGTTGATTTCAAGTGGACTAAAGTTGGTTACTAGGATATATCTGCACATGAGTATTTTAAAAGCTTAAGCATGGGAGGCTGATAAGAGAGGCAGTTGTACTTATTTGGTAATTAGTATCACAGCTTTTCCAGTTGGAACTGTCTAATAGATTGTCCAAGCAAGAAATACAATTCTGCTTATCTGTCTGCACTTACATGCCAATTTGATTCATGTCTTATAAGATTTGTCTGTCAGTACTTGGTGCCTTTTAACTTATTGAGGAAAAAGAAATTTTGTTGGCCTGTAATTTTACACAATGTCCAAAGCTAAAAAAATATCGATGTTGATATGAGTAGTTAAGTGAGAAAAAGTATCGATGTTAATATGAATCTTGTGTAATTTTTTTCACAGCAATGTGACTTTTTTTGGTAGTTGGATCTGTGTTAATTAAGAAGAAATGCTGGTTGTGCTTGTCCAACTCTCTACCCCATCACATGATCATTTAATTGCTAGTTGAAACATGAAGTGAAATCCATTTAATACTTCTTGTTATTTAATTAGATTTTCTTGTTCACCAATATGATTTCGTAAATTTGCATATTGGTTAATTTGAACTAACAACATATCTTATGCAAATTTAGTACCTTGCATTTTTTAAGCTTATGTTTATATCATACACTGTTTGTGTTTTTTTCTTTCCCCAGTATAGAGCTAGACGGAAGGACACGTACACCCAAATAGAATTGGATGAGATGTGAGAAGAATTGGAAACTCATGTCCTAGAATGGCTTTTTGATTGAGCTAAACATTCCTTCATTTCACATGTCTTTTTAGCTAGTATTTTGCTTATGCATAGACAAGTATGGATAATTAGTGGTGTAGGGCCGGTAAAATTGTGATTTGGATTTGACAAGTATGGATCATTCAAGTATTTTGCTTATATATATATATATATATAGACAATTATGGATATATTTAAATTACTGTTTATATAATGTTTTTTTTATGAGCAATGGCAACACAACATGATTTGGAAATGAGGCCTTTCTTAAATACTAACACAGTGACTAAGTAAATTGTGATGTGAAACAAGCAAAATACCTACCCCTTTCCTTACATAAGTGATGCCTATTGTTTATAACAACTTTAGTTTTCCAAAAATAACTAAGTTGTAAGATAAAAACAACTAGACATCTATTATCACTGATGCCTAAAACGAGAAGTAGCATCAGCATTTATGTAACCACTAGCACTATTGGAGGCTTTTCACGTCTGCAAAATTAAAAAAGCGATGATGTATAACATAATTCACAACACCATTATTTGTTTCTACGATGTTGTAATTGATAATACGCATCGGCATAGTAGATGTTACTGATGCTGTTAGACTTCTTTAGCCTCATCACTTTTGAAACTACTGATGCTGTTTCAGGTTTAGGCGTCAGAAGTCAACCTTTTTTTGGCACCCGGAATTCATTTATGCATTGGAGTTTACCAAATATCCGATGCAGAAAGTCACAAACAGCGACGGAGAAAATTCGTTGCCTATTACACAGTAATAGGCAACAGGCATGAATACCACGCTATTTATGTGTAATAGGCAACGGATTTTATCCATTGCAAAAGCCCTATTTTGGCATAGTGAATTGTCCAATTTCTTGGTTCAATTGATATCGGATTGAGCTCAAAACTTGGTCAACATCATATTATGGTGGAACGAATCATTTGGTGAGGTTTGAGTGAAATCCAACTGTTAAAACTATGCAATATTCCAACCACTCCATTTACGAAACGAACTTCATAAAAAACTTGAATTGTCCAATTTCTTTGGCCAATCGATGTCGAATTGAGCCCAAAACATAGGCAACGTCATAATATGGTCGGAGGAGTGAATTGGTGTGTTTTGAGTGAAATCCAATCGCTAAAACTATGCAATACACCAACCACTCTATTTACGGAATGAACTTCGTACAAACTTGAATTGTCTAATTGCATTGGCCAATCAATATCGGATTCAACCCAAAACTTGCTCAACATCATAATATTGTGGGAGGAGTCATTTGGTGAGTTTTGAGTGTTATCTAATCGCTAAAACTGTGCAATACACCAACCATCCCGTTTACTGAACGAACTTCGTACAAACTTGTAATGTCAAATTTCTTGGTTCAATCGATATTGGATTGAGCCGAAAACATAGTTAACATCATAATATGTAACACCATAATATGGTGGGAGGAGTGAATTGGTGAGTTTTGAGTGCAATCCAATCGCTAAAACTATGCAATAGACCAACCACCCCATTTACGGAACGAACTTCGTACGAACTTGAATTGTCCAATTTCATTGGGCAATTGATATCGGATTGAGCCCAAAACATGGCAACATCACAATATGGTGGGAGGAGAGAATTGGTTTGTTTTGAGTGAAATCCAAATGCTTAAACTATGCAATACACCACCCACTCCATTTATGGAACGAATTTCATACGAACTTGAATTGTCCAATCGATATCGAAGTGAGCCCAAAACATGGGCAATGTCATACTACGGTGGGAGGAGTCATTTGGTGAGTTTTGAGTGAAATCCAATAGCTAAACCTGTGCAATACACCAACCACTCCATTTACGGAACGAACTTTGTACGACCTTGAATTGTCCAATTTCTTTGGGCAATCGATATCGGATTGAGACCAAAACATGGGCAACGTCAGAGTATGGTGGGATGGGTGAATTGGTGAGTTTTGAGTAAAATCCAATCGCTAAAACTATGCAATACGCCAACTACTCCATTTACGGAACGAACTTCGTTCGAACTTGAATTGTCCAATTTCTTTGGCCAATCGATATCGGATTGAGCCCAAAACTTGGCCAACGTCATAATATGGTGGGAGTAGCCATTTGGTTAGTTTTGAGTGAAATCTAATTGCTAAAACTGTGCAATACACCAATCACCTCCATTTACGGAGTGAACTTCTTACGAACTGGAATTATCAAATTTCTTGGTTCAATCAATATCGGATTGAGTCCAAAACATGGGGAACATCATAATATGGTGGGAGGAGTGAATTGTTGTGTTTTGAGTGAAATCCAATGGCCAAAACTATGCAATACACCAACCACTCCATTTAGAACGAACTTCGTACGAACTTTAATCGTGCAATTTCTTGGACCAATCGATATCGGATTGAGTCCAAAACTTGGGCAACATTATAATATGTTGGGAGGAGTCATTTGGTGAGTTTTGAGTGAAATCCAATCACTAAAACTATTTAATACACCAACCACTCCATTTAGAAAGAACTTCGTACGAACCTGAATTGTCCAATTTCTTTGGCCAATCGATATTGGATTGAGCCCAAAACATGGGCAACATCGTAATATGGTGGGAAGAGTGAATTGGTGTGTTTTGAGTGAAATGCAATCGCAAAAACTATGCACTACACCAACCACTCCATTTACGTAACGAACCTCGTACAAACTTGAATTGCCTAATTTCTTTGGCCAATTGATATCAGATTGAGACCAAAACATGGGAAACGTTGTAATGTGATGGGAGGAGTGAATTGGTGTGTTTTAAGTGAAATGCAATCTCTAAAACTATGCAATACACCAACCAATCCATTTATGCAACGAACTTCGAACGAACTTGAATTGTCCAATTTCATTAGCCAATCGATATCGGATTGCGACCAAAACTTGGTCAACGTCGTAATATGCTGGGAGAGTGAATTGGTGTGTTTTGAGTGAAATGCAATCGCTAAAACTATGCAATACACCAACCACTCCATTTACGGCATGAACTTCGTACGAACTTGAATTGTCCAACTTCATTGGCCAATCGATATCGGATTGAGCCCAAAACATGGGCAACGCTATAATATGGTGGGAGGAGTGAGTTGTTGTGTTTTGAGTGAAATCCAATCACCAAAACTATGCAATACACCAACCACTCCATTTACGGAACGAACTTCGTACGAACTTGAATTATCCAACTTCATTGGCCAATCGATATCGGATCGAGCCCAAAACATGGGCAATGCCATAATATGGTGGGAGGGGTGAGTTGTTTTGTTTTGAGTGAAATCCAATCACCAAAACTATGCAATACACCAACCACTCCATTTATGGAACGAACTTCTTATGAACTTGAATTGTCCAATTTCATTGGCCAAT